TGTAATACAGCCCACCTGCTCCATATGCGGGCTTGCCATATGTGGACTTAAACTTCCGTACACGGCAAGCCCAAGGACTTAAAATGGCATATGTGCCGCATCGCACGCAGGAGTGTGCACCCATAGAAATCAACAGGACTTGAGGTCCTGCAGTTTTTGTTATACACCCCCCCTCCACATATGGCAAAAACCAGGACCTCAAGTTGCATTGATTTCTATGAACATGTGCTCATTTTAAGTCCTCGGGGACTTTTTAAGTCCCCTGCGTATACAAAGGGGCCACTGTATATGAATAAAAATATTTTGCTTGCTTGTGTATTTTTGTTTGTACATTCATGTATATTCATGAATATACATGAATATATTCATGCAACAGTGTCTCCTCCCAAGAACCAGGGTAATGATGTGACTAATGGGAGGAGAAGAAGTGGCAGCTCAGGACAGGCCCTGCCAGAGACCATGATCCAGCGAGCTTCCCTGCTCTCCTCCTTCTCCTCCTTCAGGCAGAGGCATCTGCTCCATGAGTCCTTCTCACCTTTCTCTTCCCCCTCCAAGACACAAAGTTTGGATAGAGGAGGAGGGAACAGGACTCAAGCCCCTATTAAGGAACTCTTGTACTCCACCCTGGTGTTTCTGCCCTTCAGTTTGAGAACCACTGGTCTAGCCTCTTTCAAGGCTATGCTTCCTAAATAAAATGAGGGCATTAGCAATAAATAAATAAATAAATAAATAAATAAATAATTTTTAAAAAATTTAATAATAATAATAATAATAATAATAATAATAATAATAAGTTTTATTTTTAATCCACCCCTCTGCTCAGCAACCGGGGCAGGGTACAGCATGATTAAAACAAGCAACAGTTAAAACAAACCATCAACCCACTTTCTCCCCCTCCCACCCCTTAAAACTAAATTAAACTAATTCAAGATTTAAAAACACTTAATACATAAAATATAATAGAAATGAAGGAATGTGTTCTATCTGTACTTTAGGGGAAAGTGGCTCAAATATATGTCAAAATAGAAGAGCAAAGCATATATTCTTCAAAACCACCTCATGAAAATTGCTTTAGCATTGCATGTTTGTTTCTCATAATTTTTGTTGCTTGTTTGTATGTATCATGAAATAATGCAATGATATTTTATTATTTAAATGTAAAAGTATAAAGATTCTCTAGTTAGAATGTGGAATAATGAGAATGTTTTGCTTTCTATCATGGCTCAAATGCCAAACCAAACAAATATCAACAAGGTCAACTAAAGGTAGGTGTACTGTACTATTATGATCTAGTTAAAAATACAGCATGATGGCAAGAATCACACTGAGGAAAGCATTTTCCACAATATTAAGACTGGCAGTAGTTATATATTTACTTTCATGGAAAGGGAAAATGGGGAAATTGCTCCCCTTCCATGAATGGTTTGCAGTTCAGATGCCTCTAGTGAACCTGCTTTTTCTAAATAAGAGAAGATGGGTGACTAGAGATAGAAACCCAGGAACCTCAGAAATTGTATTCATGTGAAAAGGCTAGGAACCATCAACAAAGATTTTTAGGGACGAGGCAGGTGGATGAAATGGAGTAATCTGCAGGCACTCTGGCTGTGATCTCTCCGGGACTGCAGTGACCAGATGGCCTACTCCTGAGGCACTGGTCTAGATGCATCTGAACTGAGGCCACCAGTGGTCTCAAGCCACCACCAGTAGGAGCGGGTTTCCCCCTGATCTTTTTCCAGCTGGCTTCAGGCCTCCTTAGGTGGACTTAGCGCAGCTTATGTCCACTTTCGAGGTGTGCATTGTCTAAATGCCATGCTCCTGAAGTGGATGGAAGCTGCTTTATTTGGCCCATCTGCTTTGGGCCACAATCTCACAAAGTTACAGCTTCCGGCATTAATGAGTGGATACTGTGGTAGTTGATGTCTCTAGATATTAATTTACATTTGCTTTCTTCTTCATTAAAATAATATATAGAAGGTAAGTCTACTAGCCATCATAGCTATATGTCAGGTAGGAAAATGTCAAAATTGGTAAGTAGTATAGTGGATCTTGTTACAATGACTAATTTAATATAAAAACCCCTTTTGTGGGTTCCTGCCATGGACCTGGACTGGAAGAAGCCTGATTGCCAAGGACCCAAGGCGACCACATCACGTATGCACCTGAAAGGTCACATCTGCACGTACAATTTGCAGATCAAAAGAGCCAACACTAGGAGCTGCAAAGCAGGACATTCACACCTAGAAGATTTATGGGTACCAGTCAGGATGTGTCTGGCTGAAGATGAGATAACATTAACATCCCATCTCCTCTCCTTGGAAATTGTTTACTTCAAAAAGGAGCAGAATCCTTTGATCTACAATAGCAACTCTTCACCTCAGGCTAGGTGTAATGGTATAAGAGATCCCCAAAATCTCAGGTACATTGGGTCTGGTTAGATTTCATGGTGCCACTGTGAACTCTGACTTGGGCAGAAAGACTTGTGTTTCCTCTCAAACCTAACTACTTTATTCCTGAGTTATTGTGTGTATGATTGAATGGTAGAGTGTCTTTGTATGTTTGAATCCCCAAACAAATTAAAGTTCATTGGAAAGCTTTGTCTCTATCAGTCTATTCCCTAGTCATCTCTGTAATCATAGGATAAAAGAACCCACTGAAGACTTGGACTTCAGTAATTCCCCAAGTTCAAGTCGTTCTTACAATCTCCACCTACCACTTCATCATTACATCTTTCCACCCAGCTGCTACCATGTCCTTAGTTCTATCCTCTGCTGGAATGTTGCCTCCTCAAATGTTCCTCAATTTGGATTTCATCCCCTGGGTAAAACTGCCCCTGCTGTTTTTGTGCTAAGTAACATTGTAACCTCTAAAAGATTTGTTCCCTGTGAATCTTCCTGGGATGTTCATGGGCCCTTTTACACTACACAATTATATCACTATGATTCCACTTTAATTACCATGTTTCAATCGTAGGGAATCCTGTGTTTTCCAGCTTAAAGAGGGACATTTAGAATTCTTAGTCAAAAAGCTTCTGAACTAACTTCAGGATTCATGGTTGTTAAAATGGAATCATAGTGCCATAACTGTGCAGTGTAAAAGGACTCTTTGTGCCCTAGTACTATGAATAAGTTCATACATTGGTTTCTTTACTTCAAAATCTAAAGACCTGTGAGAACAGAATGAGTAGCATTATTGCTAGAATCATAGCTATATTAACTTGAGTGAAGCTCAAACACAAATTCAGTATGTACAATTTACCTGGCACAGGGCATGACAACAGATGAACAGAACCTTTACAGTATGTTTCAGGGCCTCTATGCAAAACAGTCCTATATGATCAGGACCAGCTTAGGCTTCAGTGCACCGAAAACTTACATGTTAGGTCCATGTATGTGCTGGATCATGGGTGCGGTGGCAACACTGGGGGAGTGCAAATCACACAGGCTGACACCCCAGAGGAGGTGTGACACCTGGTCGGGCTTGCCTCCCCCTGTGATGCAGGAGGAGTGAATGGGCACTCTTCCTGGTTGCTGTCACTGGGCTTTCTCCCTGGGGAGGAAGCCTGGTGACAGAGGAAAGAAGGGGCAAACATGCACCCTTCCTGGCTGCTCTGACACTAGATTTTCTCCCTGGCAATGGAGGAGAGGAGGGGCAAACTGGCACCCTTCCTGGAAGCTCCATCACCAGGCTTTCTCCCTGGGGAGGAAGTCCAATGATGGAGGAGAGGAGGGGCGAACACACAACCTTTCCTAGTGTCACCCTCTTCACCAGGTGACACCCTTGTCAGTGACGCCACTGCATGGGTGTTTACTCTTAAGATTCCAAATGACAGCTTATACTGACAACAAAGGAGTGCATTTCACTTTTAATTAGAATCTCACATCTTATGCTGCTCAACATATAACACAAATATCAAATAATAAGCATGTGACTTATGACTCATCAGAATCATGAAATAGTTAAGAGTGAATTACATATGACTCACCTATCAGTTTCTCCCGTTCCTCTCTCCTTTCTCGGGCAAGCCGTTGTCTTTCATCAACTTTGAGTATAGGTGCAGAGTCTACAAAACAACAGTTTCAATTTTAGAAAGAAACAAGGTTTAAAATTCAGGAATTTAAAAACAAAACCCAAGCAGTAGCAATTTAGTCAGTTTAAGAACTTGTGAAGACTGAATTCTTCCAGCATGTTAGGAAGTATCCAGATAGTATATGAAAAGAAAACTGCTAAAACTATAAAACTGCTTTTATTTGCTTTTTATTCTTTTTAAAAGCATGTTTTAAATTTAACATTGTGAGCACATTAATTCTATTTTAATGTTAACCTTTCTGTCTGTTTAGCTGAACTGTACTTATTTTAAAATCATATCTGCCCTGAGTCCCAGGGTGGGTGGGGTATAAACCATGTTTAATGAAGGAGAAGGAGAAGAAAGAGGAAGAGGCCACCGCACAGCCATATATAGTGGTACTACAGATGTTTTGGATCATAATCCCCTCATCCATAGCCAACATAGATGATGAGAGCTGTTGTTGTTGAGTGCCTTGAAGTCATTTTTTTTTTAACTTATACCGACCCTAAGGCAACCCTATCATAGATATGTGATACATGCATATATGTCACCACCACTAAGATTACAGTTACAAATTTATTTATTTATTTATTTATTTATTTATTTATTTATTTATTTATGTACATTATATTTAACAAATTATGTTAAATTACGTTAAAACTCAGAAGACCTTTTTGTTCCTGGATGGCAAACTTCATGAAAATCGGCAAGTGATGTATTGGATTATATCTCCTAGATCCCCAGTTACAATTTTAATGTGATTCTTCAATTCCATTTTCTTACTGGTTACCAAAAGAGTTACTTTTCAGTTAGTTTTCAAAATCACACCTGAATGCTACAATCCACTGCCTGGTGGTACAAAACATACCTGGTAGTCTAAGGCAATGTTAAAAATAACTACACTAAAAAAGGACCAATGAAAAAGAAAAAAACTGCCAGCGTAGTGTAGTGGCTTGAGTATTAGATTACGACTCTGGAGACCAGGGTTTGAATCTCTACTCTTGGCAAAAGCCCAAGGGGGAAAAACAGGTTGACATGGGGGGGAAGTGGCAGTCTGGGTGATGCAGATGATCTCTCCTCCTGAACCTTAGGCCTCGTCACATAGATTGCCTAAACACCTGTGCTGATGCTTCCCAGGTAGGCAGGTGAGGGGGGGGAGTCCTGAGTGAAAAATTGCTCATCATTGAACCATAGTACCCCATGTCCCCTCAACCTGTATCTGCATGCACCTTGTCAACCCAGAGAAGAAATCTTTGACAGTGTATTTGAATGTTGTAATTGAATTAAAGTTGTGTCCTACTTTCAACCCATAACTCAGTGTTCAGGATCCTTTGTCCCAGGACAAGAGATCTTCCTCTTTCCTCAGTTCACTGCTAGGAATTAAGCCTGTACACACATAAAAGTCAGTGGGGCTTACCTGATAAAAGCAGTAATAAAAAGCTCTCTCTCTCTCTCTCTCTCTCTCTCACACACACACACACACACTACAATTATACTGTAAAAAGGAGTTAAATCCCCTCTTATTGTGTAACAGCCATAATGTAACTAGGGTGCATCTACACTGTAGAAATAAGGCAGTTTGATATCAGTTTAAGTGCTGCAGCTCCATCATATGGAATCCTGAGGTTTATAGCTGTACAAAGTCGTTATCTTTACCTGCCAAAGAGTGCTGGTTCCTCACAAAACTACAGATCCAAGGATTCTCTAGGATGGAGCCATGGCAGTTTAAGTGGTGCCAAACTGCATTATTTCTCCATTGCAGGGGCACCCACAGATGCCTCTTCATTACTGGATAAGAAATTACCGCATTTTCCGGCGTATAAGATGACCGGGCGTATAAGACAACCCCCAACTT